TTAAACCTGAAATTACAGGGACCAGAATGTGACAAGTCTGAAATCACCCTGAAATCAGGGTAATTACCCTGATAAAATCAGCCCTGAGTACAACTAGACAAGATGAGACACATAACAAAGAAGTGTGTCACTGCTACAATGTCCAGTTCGGTACCATCGTTTCGTTTAGCTAAAACCAAAGACCAACCGTGTGTACATCTACCAGAAAAAACAAGCCAAATGCAACACCCTTAAAAAACCTCATCAAAATACCCAAACTGAACACCCAGTCAGGACACCCCATCAATACACCCTATCCCGCACCCCATTTCACATTTGCGCATCCACCATATACGGGGCCTCCACCCAAAGAGCCCCACCCTCCTCCTCGACGTCGTCCTTCTCCCGGTCCACCAAGTCCACATTCATCCCCCCCATAGAAGACGCCGCTCGAAGCAGGATGACACGAGCTTGCGCCCGTTGTAACGCTACCCCAATGAGCGCCTTCAGAGACCCCAAAAGATAAGCCGAAAACGAAAAGTCATCCTCCCGACAAGCCCCCCGTGACACGGCTAGCCCCACGTGCGCATCCCCCTGTCGTCGAAGCCACTGCCGGAAACGCCCGCCAAGACATCCCCACGTCTCTACTATCAACGGAGTGAACTGCACGCCCCGGTTGCGCGCAAGCAGAGGCGCGTAATCACTCGTTTTGCGACGCTCCCACTCCCTTGCCGCCACACCAATAGAACGACCGCACTGCCCTAGCAGAGATGGGGACAGCGATAGCGGGTCCGCGACGCTGATCTCTAGAGCGTGAGCCTCCCCGGCCATTGGTCGTCGCACCGCCACGTCAACCCGCTTCCCCGGCAGCACCACACCATCCTCCATCGTCACCACCCCCCCTGACGCCTTAGAGATCCTCGCCACCGCAAATTTCACCTCATCATGCACCCGAGATGGACCGTGCTGGTGCTTGCATCTCAAGGCATGATGCGGGTCTGCTGGGTCAACATACGCTGTGCCACAAACACACCTCCCCGCGACCTGCAGCTGCTGAATTGGGAGACCGAGCCGTATAGCAGCAGCAATGCCCCACTCCGCCGCAGTGAATGTGAGATCTGAGTGAGCCGGGACCGCCGAAACCCATGCACCAGCCCCCGGGCCCTGAAGGGATGTGAAACGGGCCAGGGTGGCATCGTCACGAGCCGAGCGGCGCAGTGCCTGGAGCTCCTCTACAGCCAACTGCCGCTGCCGCGCCTGGAAAAGTCGAAGAGGGGGAGCCGCTACACACAGAGGTAAGCCCGACATCTCCTGGTGTATAGTCGCTGGCAGCTGCTCAATAGCCTTGGCAAACCAAGGGTCAAGAAGCTCCGCCCCTCCCGAGGTGGTGAGGTACTCTGCAAACATCGCCTCTTCCCCCGCCACCCCCAACTGTGCAACATCACGCGCGGCCTGCGCCCACCCACAAACATAGGACAGCGGGCTCAAAGAGGCCGCCGCCCTAATCCCGAACCCCCCGAGTCGCACGGGAAGATGCAGCTGCATGCGCGCGCGCCTAGACCGGTCGGGGTCCTGCTCCCAAGTGCCAGGTGGGAAAAGCTACTCGAAGCAATCCTCCAGACAGCTGTCCCAATCCCTAAAGGCCTCCACCACCTCCGGACGCGGCGGCATAGTCCGGGCCAGGTACATCGGCCGTGCTGAAACTGCAATGGCGAGGAGATGTGAAGCCATCTGGGGGTGGTCAAGCAGGGGGAGCCATGGCAATGGCCCCTGCAACTGTCGAAGCCGCTCCCGTAATCGGGCCACCTCCCAATCCTCCTCCCCAATAGGTACGCCCACCACAGTGAGACCCTCCTGTCAGAAGTAGTAGGAGTACGGCCTAGGCTTAGTAGCCTAGGCCACAGTAGGACTAGTAACGAGGAGCCAAGTACGAGCTAGGATTGTGTGCAGGAACAGAATTGAGAAGGAATGATTGAACTAGCAAGCAGCAGGATACAAATGGCAAACCCTAAGGGGCTGTACTCACTATAGAGTACCCCACTGCAGGCTACACAAACAACATATTCTGACACACCCCCATAGCCAAAGTGGGGTGTAATCAGCACAATGAGCAGTCATAGCAATAGTTCATAATTATCAGCAAAGCTAGAGGCTATCACAGAGGGCAAGTGAGGAGGAGGAGGGACTATGAAAGGAGAGAAGATGGGAGGCGACGACTGAAGCTGCAGACACACGGGCAACAGAAGCGGCTGACACAGTGGCGGCTGACACAGTGGCTACCGAGACAGAGCGCCCCGGAATACTGGAGTAACTGGCTCTGCGGCTACGACGAGCGGCAGAAGCAACGGACCCACGGGCGACTGGTGCAGCAGGCTCTCAGTGGCTACCGAGACAGTGCGTCCCGGAATACAGGAGTAACAGGCTCTGCGGCTGCGACGAGCGGCAGGAGCAACGGACCCACGGGCAACAGGTGCAGCAGGCTCTCTGAGCTACCAGGACAGTGCGCCCCGGACTACAGGTGCTGCGGACGACAAGACAGCAGCCTCCACTCAACCTCCCCCAACAGTCCCACACCCCTCTCACACACCCCCTGCTTCGCCCCTAGCTCCACTCCCAAATCACCCCCCTAGTGCCACTCCCCACGACTCCCACACCTCCACCCCCCTCAGCGGCAGCTGCAGCAGTGGGAGACGAAAAAGGAGGAGGGGAGAACCCACACCTCTCACCCCCATGCTCGCCACCCCACACCCCAGCCACCGCGGAACGCACGGTGGAATGGGAGCAATGGGCAGCACGGGGGGGGGGGGGGGGGGGGGGGGGGGGACGGGGCGGGCTTCTGCAGAGGCGGCTCGCGCGGGTCCTGGGGCGGCTGCTGCAGGTGCGGGCTGCTCCAGGGGCGGCTGCTGCAGGTGCGGGCTGCTCCAGGGGCGGCTGCTGCAGGTGCGGGCTGCTCCAGGGGCGGCTGCTGCAGTGGCGGGCGGCTCCAGGGGCTGCTGCTGCAGTGGCGGGCGGCTCCAGGGGCTGCTGCTGCAGTGGCGGGCGGCTCCAGGGGCGGCCGCCGCAGTTGAAAGGCAGAAGGGGGGGGGGGGGGGGGGAAACGCACGGCCCCCAGGGCGCCCCGAGGGGCGACGAGAAGGGAGCCGCGCGGCCCCCCCCCGGGGCGCCGCGACGGGCACCAGGGAGGGCGCCGCGACGAGCCCCCAGAGCCGCCTCGACGGGCGACGGGGAGGGTGCCGCGCGGGCCCCGTGAAGTCGCCTCGACGGGCGACGGGGAGGGCGCCGCGCGGGCCCCCCGAAGTCGCCTCGACGGGCGACGGGGAGGGCCGCGCACGGCCCCCGAAGTCGCCTCGACGGGCGACGGGAGGGGACCGCGCGCGGCCCCCGTGGTCGCCACGACGGGCGACTGGTGGGGAGGCCGCGCGGGCCCCCAAGGTCGCCTCGACGGGCGACGGGAGGGGAGGCCGCGCGGGTCCCCGAGGTCGCCTCGACGGGCGACGGGAGGGGAGGCCGCGCGGGTCCCCGAGAGCGCCTCGACGGGCGCTTCGACGGGAGGGGACCGCGGAGGCCCCGCCAAGGGCACCACGACGGGCGCCACGGAAGGGAAAACCGCCAGGCGCCCCGAGCGCGCGGCGGGCAGAAATTAGGGTTTCGCCACCGCGCACCACGGGGCGCGCGGCGGACAGTACGGCAGCGGAAGCGGGTGGTGGGCCCATACACAGGAAGGCGGCAGACATGCCGCCCTCTGATACCATGTCAGAAGTAGTAGGAGTACGGCCTAGGCTTAGTAGCCTAGGCCACAGTAGGACTAGTAACGAGGAGCCAAGTACGAGCTAGGATTGTGTGCAGGAACAGAATTGAGAAGGAATGATTGAACTAGCAAGCAGCAGGATACAAATGGCAAACCCTAAGGGGCTGTACTCACTATAGAGTACCCCACTGCAGGCTACACAAACAACATATTCTGACACCTCCTCCACCCGCTGCATCCCTAATGGCAGTGCCCGCTCCACATCCCCGCCTTCGCGCTCCCAAAACCGGCACTTGTGCGCCTGCACCTCCAGCCCCACCCACTCCAACCGCTCCCGCAGCACCCCAAAAGCCTCTAAGATCCTAGCCGCTGGTCCCAGGATGTAGGTATCGTCCGCATAACTCAGGAAAAGTATATCCCTGAACTCTCTAATCACCGACGCCATCACTTGCTGCTGCGTGAACGCAAAAAGAAAAGGGCCGAGCGGATCCCCCTGCCGCGAACCTCGTGCCGACTCAAGACTCTGTACGAAAGGGCCCGCTCGGAGATACAAGTCGCTAGGTGACCCGTAGAAAACACGCAAGAATGGGATCAACCTCGAGAAAGGCGACTCCCGCAGCCCCTCAAACATCGCCTGACGGTGAAAAGAATTGAAGGCGTTCGCGACATCTATCTGCAGCGCACACCAATCGGGGTGAGTGGCCAGCGCTGACCGGAAAGAATGAGTAAGAATCTCCACCCCGACCCTGGTGCCCGCTCCCAGCTGGTTGCACGGCAGAAAGTAGGAAGCCATAGCAGGGCGGAGCGAGATGCAAAGAGCTCGAGCAAGGATACGCGGAAGCACCTCCCCAATCGCCACCGGCCGAACGTCGCCGTTAGGCTTGGAAAGCCCAACTAGGTTGGATGCGGCGAGCCAGGGCCGTGCCTGCTCGGGGACCTGTCCTGCCACCCATTGGTTGAACACCTCCAATAGGTGGGGAAGGCAGGAAGGTTCAGTGAGGAAGGTGTCGCGCAGATGCTCTGTGACCCACCCCGATGGCCCTGCTGCTGAAGCGCGAGCGGCTGTATGAATGGCTCTGGCCAGGACGTCGGTCGTCAGTGGAGGCCGCTGAGGAGCATCGACGGTGAAATCACGGACCCACTGTGGTACCTCGCCAGTGCTAGCAGGGTGCTTCTCTTGCAGCGACTGCACCATGGCCTCAGACGGTCGCGCCAACTCTCCTGCTGTAAGGCAAGCCAGTCCACGACTCCACTCTCCCACTTTACACCGAGCTCAGCAGCGTGACAGGCGGATGGCATCCGGGTCCTGGTCAGAGCAAGTGTAGGCGAGTGGACGAACTGCTGGCCGCGCCGCTGCCATGGCAGAGTCGAACAGCTCCCGCCACCTCCCCTCCCAGAACGCCCCCAGCCGCTCTATTATCAGTGCCTTCTGACCTATGCCTGGCTTGGGAGGCAAGGCTAGGATGAGGCGCGGAAACGCCAAGAGCAGGAGGGTAGCGGCTTCATCCCCCGGTCGGTTCTTCAAACGCTTCAAGATGCAGCAGAGCGCGTCCAAGACCCCCGCCCGGGCCCGCTGTGGGATCCGGCGCACTGTCCTCCCTCCAACCGCCTCCACACTGAAAAATGCTTCCCACTCCCATGACGTAACCCCGGCCCACGCCTCGTCCCCAAAGTCCCGCGGCGTCGGTCTCTCCTGCGTGTCGGTCTCCACCAGGGACGGGATCGAGCCAAGTGCCTGCGCGCGCCTCTCCGCCTCAGCCGCCCTGCATACCCTCATGTGGTTCGCAGCGGCCCCTCGCGTAGCGAACGTGTGAAAACACGTGTCACATGGAAAACGAGGGCATGGGGAAGGCGGTATGGGAGGCTCCCCGTCTTCCTCTGGTTCCTCCGCAGTCGCCATGGGAGTATCTAACTCCAAAAGTCGGCTCCACTCCACCAACTGCTGCTCCAGGTCGTCCATCAGCTCCCCCCCTGGCCGCTGCTCTCCCTGGGATCCACCAGTCGCACCTGGCTGCCCACCTGGCCGCTGCGTTCCCTGGGGTGCACCGGTCACCCCCGGCTGCCCCCTTGGCTGCTGCTCTCCCTGGGGTGCTCCGCCACTGTGCCCCGGCTGCCCCACTTGCTGCTGCTCTCTCAGGGATGCTTCGGTCGCCGCCGGCTGCCCCCATGCCTGCTTCTCTCCCTCGGGTGCTTGGGTCACCCTCGGCTGCCCCCCTGACTGCTGCACTCCCTGGGGTGCCCCGGTCACCCCCGGCTGCCCCCCTGGCTGCTGCTCTCCCTCGGGTGCTCGGGTCACCCCCGACTGCCCCCCTGACTGCTGCGCTCCCTGGGGTGCCCCGGTCACCCCCGGCTGCCCCCCTGACTGCTGCGCTCCCTGGGGTGCCCCGGTCACCCCCCGCTGCCCCCATGGCTGCTGCTCTCCCTGGGGTGATCCGGTCAACCCCGGCTGCCCCCCTGCCTGCTGCTCTCTCTGCGGTGCTCCGGTCGCCCCCGGCGGCCCCCTTGCCTGCTGCTCTCCCTGGGGTGCTCGGGTCACCTCCGGCTGCCCCCCTGGCTGCTGCGCTCCCCGAGGTGCTCGGGTCACCCCCGGCTGCCCCCCTGACTGCTGCGCACCCTGGGGTGCCCCGGTCACCCCCGGCTGCCCCCCTGACTGCTGCGCACCCTGGGGTGCCCCGGTCACCCCCGGCTGCCCCCCTGACTGCTGCGCACCCTGGGGTGCCCCGGTCACCCCCGGCTGCCCCCCTGGCTGCTGCTCTCCCCGGGGTGCTCCGGTCGCCCTCCGCTGCCCCCCTGGCTGCTGCTCTCCTTGGGGTGCTCCGGTCACCCTCGGCTGCCCCCATGGCTGCTGCTCTCCCTGCAGCGCTCGGGTCACCCCCGGCTGCTGCTCTCTCTGGGGTGCTCCAGCCGCCCCCAGCTGCCCCCCTGCCTGCTGCTCTCCCTGGGGTGCCCCGGTCACCCCCGGCTGCCCCCCTGCCTGCTGCTCTCCCTGGGGTGCCCCGGTCACCCCCGGCTGCCCCCCTGGCTGCTGCGCTCCCAGGGGTGCTCCGGTCAACCCCGGCTGCTCCCCTGACTGCTTCGCTCCCAGGGGTGCTCCGGTCAACCCCGGCTGCTCCCCTGACTGCTTCGCTCCCAGGGGTGCTCCGGTCAACCCCGGCTGCCCCCCTGACTGCTGCGCTCCCTGGGGTGCTCCGGTCAACCCCGGCTGCCCCCCTGGCTGCTTCGCTCTCTGGGGTGCTCCGGTCACCCCCGGCTGCCCCCCTGGCTGCTGCTCTCCCTGGGGTGCCCGGGTCGCCCCCGGCTGGCCCCCATCCCGCTGCCCTCCCTGTCCTCGCCCCCTTCGGCGCCGTGCCCGCGACCCTTCGGCTTGGCCTGTGCCGCCCGGGCTAGTGACTCCCTGCTGATTCTGCACCTGCAACTCCTGCGACTCACTCGTCGGCAACCCCTGTTGCACGCTTCCAAGCAAGGGCTGGTTCCCCTCATGACACCCTTGCCGCCCTGCCTGCGACTGGGGTTGATTGTCTGTTTGACTCCCGTCCTGCATGCGTACCGGCAGCTCCCCTCGCGCCTCCTCTTGCGGCTCCTCCATCTCCACCTCCAGCTCCTGCAGCTCCTGCTGCCCCCCAGCCTGCAGCTCCTGCTGCTCCCCGACCCCCTGCTCCACCTCCATCTCTGCCGCCAACGCCTGTTGACCTCCGGGCAGCTCTTGCTGTCCCCCTGCCTGCTGCTCTCCCTGGGGTGCTCCGGGCACCCTCAGCTGCCCCCCTGCCTGCTGCTCTCCCTGGGGTGCTCCGAGCACCCCCGGCTGCCCTCCTGCATGCTGCTCTCCCTGGGGTGCTCCGGGCACCCTCAGCTGTCCCCCTGCCTGCTGCTCTCCCTGGGGTGCTCCGGGCACCCCCGGCTGCCCTCCTGCCTGCTGCTCTCCCTGGGGTGCTCCGGGCACCCTCAGCTGCCCTTCTGCCTGCTGCTCTCCCTGGGGTGCTCCGGGCGCCCTCGACTGCCCCCCTGCCTGTTGCTCTCCCTGGGGTGCACCGGGCGCCCCCGGCTGCCCCCCTGCCTGCTGCTCTCCCTGGGGTGCACCGGGCGCCCTCGACTGCCCCCCTGCCTGCCGCTCTCCCTGGGGTGCACCGGGCGCTCCCGGCTGCCCCTCCGCCTGCTGTGCGGCAGCCCCGCTTCCAATCCGCCCTTGCGATTTGCAGGAACGTCGGCTCCCGCCTCGGCCCCGTGCCCGGGTTCTGCTCGCTTGGCTTACAGCATCCGAATTCGCGACCTTCCGCTGACCCTGCGCCGGCAGCTCCCGCCGCCCTTCTGTATGCAGCTCCTGCCGCTCCTCTCGTGGGATTTCCTGGGCTCGTGATAGCTCGGCCATTGCCACGTCTGCAGCTTGCTTCTCCCTCGCCGGCAGCTGGCGTTCTCCCGGCAGCTCCGGCTGCCCTTTCCTTGGATTCTCCCCTCCACTCGGCAGCGTCCGCTGCCCTTCGATGCGCAGCTGCTGCTGCCCTCCGCTCTGCAGCTCCTGCTGCCCCCCGGCATGTGACTCCACCTCCATCTCCGTCACCAACGCCTGCTGCCCCCCAGCCTGCAGCCATTGCTGCTCTCCGCTCTGCGACTGCTGCTGCCCTCCGCTTCGCGGCTCCTGCTGCCCCGCGGCCTGTGGGTCCACCTCCATCGCCGTCGCCAACGCCTGCTGCCCCCCGGCCTGCAGCTCCTGCTGCCCCCCGGCCTGCAGCTCCCGCTGCCCCCCGGCCTGCAGCTCCTGCTGCCCCCCGGCCTGCAGCTCCTGCTGCCCCCCGGCCTGCAGCTCCTGCTGCCCCCCGGCCTGCAGCTCCTGCTGCCCCCCGGCCTGCAGCTCCTGCCGCCCCCCGGCCTGCAGCTCCTGCTGCCCCCCGGCCTGCAGCTCCTGCTGCCCCCCGGCCTGCAGCTCCTGCCGCCCCCCGGCCTGCAGCTCCTGCCGCCCCCCGGCCTGCAGCTCCTGCTGCCCCCCGGCCTGCAGCTCCCGCTGCCCCCCCGGCCTGCAGCTCCTGCTGCCCCCCGGCCTGCAGCTCCTGCTGCCCCCCGGCCTGCAGCTCCTGCTGCCCCTCGGCCTGCAGCTCCTGCTGCCCCCCGGCCTGCAGCTCCTGCTGCCCCCCGGCCTGCAGCTCCTGCTGCCCCTCGGCCTGCAGCTCCTGCTGCCCCCCGACCTGCCGCTCCTGCTGGACCCCGGCCTGCAGCTCCTGCTGCCCCCCAGCCTGTATCCACCGCTGCCCTCCGCTCTGCTTGGGTTGTTGCCCTCCGCTCGGCAGCTGCTGCTGCCCTCCGCTCTGCAGCTCCTGCTGCCCACCGCTTTGCAACCCCTGCTGTCCCATCCCCACCGGCGGCTGCCGGGCCCCCTCCCGTACCCCCTGCTGCTCGCCCACCGGCAGGTCTCGCCAGCCCCCCACTAGCGGCTCCTGCTACCTGTCTCTCCTTGCCGCCCTCCGGCGCTTCCACTCCTGTCGCCGTGCAAGACGTGGCACGACCAGGGGGATTGCAGCGTCGGTCGAGCCCACACTGTGCGGCGTTACCCTCTCGGGTCGGCCGCTTCTGCGAGTGTCATGCTGTTGCTGCAAGCGTCTACGGTGCTCTTCCCAAGCTGCCCTCGCAACCTCCGAAGCCTCCCTTGGAGCTATCGCCACCTCGTCAACCGCGCCCTTGTCACTTATCGCTCCCCCCACCTCTTCGTTGACGACCGCCGGTTCGGAGTCGTCGATCTGGCCAACCTGGGTGTTGGAAGGGTCGTCGAGGGACTGCTCACATGTCAACGCTGAAGTCGGACAGCCCGCTGCGTAACGCGGTCTCTTGGGTGGTTTGCCAAATAGGCATAGAAGGTCTTCGTGGTGGAGGCGACGGATGCGTGGGCTCCGAAGCGCCCCCTCAGCCTCCCCCCGTCTTTTGTGACCAACCAATAGGTGGAGCGACCCACCAGCTGCTACTGTGCTTACCCCCCCTTCGCCCCCAAAGGCCCCCGTCATGTCGCTGTCTAGGCCGTCCCCCACCCAGACCCCGGGGTCCCCGGGGTCCAGGTCCTCCGCCATGGCTCCAAGCTCTGTCCAAGGCTCGTTCGCTTACTCTATGGTTCTCTTATGGCCAGGGATTTCGCTGCTGTGGCACGGGTTTTCCTACTATGGCGTCTATAACGTTGCTATGGCGCGGTCGTCGTTGATAAGGCGTGTTTCGCTACCATGGCGCAGGTTTCGCTGCTATGGCGCGGATTCCGCTGCTATGGCTAGAATCTCGCCGCTACGTCGCGGATGTCGCTGCTGTGTGTGAAGATAAGCAGTAGAAGAAGGCGCCATAGCTAGGAAAGCCCTAGCTAGGCAAGAAACAGTTTAGGCAAAGAAGGGGGTTGCACTAGCAAGAATGAGGATACAAATAGCAAACCCTAGAAGGGTTGTACTCGCTATAGAGCACCCCACTACAGGCTAGAGCATAATATTCTGACACACCCCCATAGCCAAAGTGGGGTGTAATCAGCAGAGCAAGCAAAGCAGAACAAGCTCAGGGTGGATCACAATGTCACCACACATTCTGAGCACAAGTTCAGGAAGCAATAGTTTAAAGTTCACAATTATGAGCAAAGCTAGTGGTAGTCACAACGGGCAAGTGAGGAGGAGGAGGGACAGTGAGAGGAGAGGAGATAGGAGGCGACGGCTGAAGCTGCAGACATTCGGGCAACAGGAGGCACACTGGCACAGCGGCTACCGGAACAGCGCTCCGGACTACTGGAGTAACTGGCCCCGCGGCTAAAAGTAGCGGCAGACGAGCAACGGACCCACGGGCGACTGGCACAGGTGGCTATGACTGGGCTACCGGAGCAACTCCCCGGACTACAGGTGCTGCTGGCGACACGACGGCAACCTCCGTTCAACCTCCCCCAAACAGTACCACCCCCCCTGACACACACCCCCTGCTTCACCCCTAGCTCCACTCCCCCTTCACCCCCCCTTAGTACCACTCCGACGGCTCCAACAGGTCCACCCCCCTTCAGCGGCAGCTGCAGCACAGGGAGACGGAGGAGGAGGAGGAGCAGGGAACGGCACACAGAAGCTGCACCCCCATACCCCCCACCCCCAAACCCTAATCCAGGAGAACGGGCAGAAGGAGGGGTGGGGCGCCTTCAGAAGCACGGGGGACAGCGGGGAGGACAGGGGCAGCGAAGAACGGGCCGCCCACGGGCCTGGCACAGCCTCCCGAACCGCGCGCAGGCGGCCCAAGCCGCGCGCGGGCCTGGCGCAGCCCGTACGGGCCGCGCGCGGGCCTGGCGCAGCCCGTACGGGCCGCGCGCGGGCCTGGCGCAGCCCGTACGGGCCGCGCGCGGGCCTGGCGCAGCCCGTACGGGCCGCGCGCAGGCCTGGCGCAGCCCGTACGGGCCGCGCGCCGGCTGTACGGGCCGCGAGCAGGCCACGACGGGCGACGGGGGGCGACGCGCGGGTCCCCGTCGCCCGTCGTAGCGCCTCCTGGGGGCGACGCGCCGAGTGACGGGGCAGAAACCCGTCGCACGCCTCGGGGCGCACGGCGGGCAGAAAACCGCCGCGCGCCTCGGGGCGCACGGCGGGCAGAAAACCGCCGCGCGCCTCGGGGCGCACGGCGGGCTGAAAAACCCTAATTTCGACGCCGCGCACCACGGGGCGCGCGGCGGACAGGGAGTAGCAGTAGCAGCGGAAGCAGTGAGGTGGGGCCCACAGGCCAGGAGCATATCGCTCTAATACCATGTGAAAGTAAGCAGTCGAAGAAGGCGCCATAGCTAGGAAAGCCCTAGCTAGGCAAGAAACAGTTTAGGCAAAGAAGGGGGTTGCACTAGCAAGAATGAGGATACAAATAGCAAACCCTAGAAGGGTTGTACTCGCAATAGAGCACCCCACTACAGGCTAGAGCATAATATTCTGACACTGTGGCGCGGATATCGCTGCTATGGCGCGGATTTCGCTGCTGTGCCGCGGATTTCTCTGCCGTGGCGCAGATTTCGCTACTGTGGCGCGGATTTCGTTGCTATGGCGTGGATTTCGCTGCAGTGGCGCGGGAGTCGCCGCGGTGGCACGAATTTCGCTGCTCTGGCGCGGATGTCGCTGCGGTGGCACGGATTTCGCAGCTATGGCGCGGATATCGCGGCTAGGGCACGGATTTCGCTGCTGCTACGCGGTTTCGGCGGCCAGTACGTGAAAGGAGCCTGCTTTGGCGCGAATTCTGCTACCTAGCTGCGCGCCAGGCGGCCTAATCGCTGACTGAGCGGCTAAATCGCGGGCCTGGCGGCAAAATCGCGCGCTGGCGGCAAGATCGCGGGCCTGGCGGCTAGATCGCGCGCTGGTGGCGAGATCGCGGGCCTGGCAGCTAGATCACGGGCGCGGCGGCTAGATTGCGCACCACGGCTGCTAGATCGCCCGCTACGGCTGCTAGATCGCTCGCTACGGCTGCTAGATCGCGCGCTACGGCTGCTAAATCGCGCGCTACGGCTGCTAGATCGCGCGGCTGCTAGATCGCGCGACAAGTTGTTTTGATGGTGCATACACTAGAGTGAATACTATGGTCTGGGTGGGAGTGTTGGAGTGAGGATCTTGGATAGGATAGGTCTGCCTTAGAGAGATTTGGTAGCGGAAGTCTTGAGGTAGGAACCTTGTGCATATTAAATGTAAATAATAAGATTTTTTAAAATATAAAATTACACATAATAAATAGATCTAGCTAGCCATGTATTCTTAGGGATACATTGCCTTAGGCCGCATTCTGAAGTTTGCCCACCATCCGAAGTCTTCCCACGTGTCTCGAAATAATGAATTTGAAATCAATTCGCATTTCAATGTTTGCCAACGCGGTGCGACTTCGGTCCAAACGGCCATGGTCGCATTTCTCTGCCTGCACGTCAATGTGCGACGTCATTGATCGTGCCATGATTGGTGGTTTGGGGGGTTGTGTCAGAATGTTGTATTTGTCTAGCCTGCAGTGGGGTACTCTATAGCGAGTACAGCCCAATCTAGGGTTTCCTATATGTACTCAACTGCTTGCTAGTGAACCTCCTCCATTCTTCATTCTTACTTTCTACTGCTAGTTCTGACATGCTATCAGAGCAGGTCGATCCCCTTAGGTCGATCCTGTGGGTGGGCCCACCACCTCACTGCTTCCGCTGCTACTGCTACTCTGTGTGTTGCACGCCCCGTGGCGTGCGACGGATTTTTCATCCCGCCGCGCGCTCGGAGCGTGCGGCGGTTTTCTGCCCGCCGTGCGCCCCGAGGCGCGCGGCGGTTTTCTGCCCGCCGTGCGCCCCGAGGCGCGTGGCGGCTTTCTGCCCCGTCACTCCGCGCGTCGCTCCCGGGAGGCGCTGCGACGGGCGACGGGGACCCGCGCGTCGCCCCCCGTCGCCCGTCGCGGCCTGCGCGACCTGCGTAGGGCCCGCGCGCGGCCCGTACAGCCTGCGCGCGGCCCGTACGGGCTGCGCCAGGCCAGGGCGCGCCTCGGGCCGTCCGCACGCGGTTCGTACGGGCTGCGCCAGGCCCGTGGGCGCCCTGTTTTCTCTGCCCCTGCGCTGCCCGCTGTCCCCCGTGCTTCTGACGGCGCCCCACCCCTGCTGCTGCCCGTTCTCCTGAATTAGGGTTTGGGGGTGGGGGGTATGGGGGTGCAGTTTCTGTGCGTCGTCCCCTACTCCTCCTCCTCCTCCGTCTCCCAGTGCTGCAGCTGCCGCTGAGGGGGGTGGGTGTGTGGGAGCCGAAGGAGTGGTACTAGGGGGGTGACGTGCAAGTGGAGTTAGGAGTGAAGCAGTGGGTGTGTGGGGGGTGAGTGGGACAGTTGGAGGAGGTTGAGCGGAGGCTGCTGTCTTGTCGTCCGCAGCACCTGTAGTCCGGGGCGCACTGTCCTGGTAGCCCAGAGAGTCTGCTGCGCCTGTCGCCCGAGGGTCCGTTGCTCCTGTAGCTCGTCGTAGCCCGTGAGCCAGTTACTCCAGTAGTCCGGGGCGCACTGTCCCGGTAGCCACTGTGCCAGCAGCTCCTGTTGCCCGTGTGTCTGCAGCTTCAGCCGCCGTCTCTCATCTTCTCTCCTCTCACAGTCCCTCCTCCTCCTCACTTGCCCGCTGTGATTACCTCTAGCTTTGCTTCTTATTGTGAACTCCTGCTATACCTGCTCATTGTGCTGATTACACCCCACTTTGGCTATGGGGGTGTGTCAGAATGTTGTATTTGTCTAGCCTGCAGTGGGGTACTCTATAGCGAGTACAGCCCAATCTAGGGTTTCCTATATGTACTCAACTGCTTGCTAGTGAACCTCCTCCTTTCTTCATTCTTACTTTCTACTGCTAGTTCTGACAGGTTGTGCTGTCGGAAAGCCTGGTTACGTGGTAGTTGCTGTCAGAAAGTTTTGACTTGCACGACCGTCGGGCATGGCCATTAGTTGATTGGTTGACGAATTTTATTGCAGCTTCAGCGTTCGATTTAACGGGAGCATTTTATTGGAGGCGAATTGGATTTGACTGTACACCTGTCATGCGATCCGGCCGACCTCTGTCGCCCGCCAAAACAAGGCCTGGTGTCCAAATGGGGTCCCGCTCCACATGGACACCATCAGCATCGGAAAATTTGTGATGGTGGGCAAACTTCGACGGTGTCCCAACTTGAGAATTCGGTCTTATTCCAACTGTTTTACAAGCAGTGACTCTGACCATTGCGTCGAAGTGAAAGGCCCCGCCCTCGCTTGGGCGCAGGCATTCCCTGCGACGACGTGGTGAATTCGACGAAGTGATCGTCGCATTGGATCAGCCCGTCCTCTGAAACCGCGGGTGGTTTTCGAGGCGGTTGTCCTCTGATTCACCAGCCCATCAACGAGCTCTGGTCGACGGGGTGCTGTTCGACGAGCTTGTCTTCTGATCTGCTTCTGGGTCGCGCGATCTCTGACGGACGGGGTGCTTTTCGAGGAGCCCTGTTCTCTGATCGAAGGGCGCTGTTCGGCGAGTTTCATCTCGGCGAACTGGCTGGCCGAATTCGCGCGGCTGCGAAACTCTGCAGGGGCATGCGAAATTCGCTCAGGTGGCTCTTAGCGAAATTCGACATGCGCA